TGTGGGCTCCTTTAGGGAGCCAGTCCATCTCATATTTTGTCTTCCTCTTTTCCTGTTGCTTTCCACCTTTCCCAACATTATTGTCTTTTCTAGAGAATCCTCCCTTTCGACAATGTGCCCAAATCAGGACAGCCTCGGTTTCAGCATTGTTGTCTCCAGAGATATTTCAAGCTTGATTTGATTTGAGAACCACCTGTTCATCTTTCTGGCACCCCAGAATATTGACAAACATGTTTTCCAACACTACACTTCAAATTAAACCATTTTTCCCCTGTCAGCTTTCTCTGATATCCAGCTTTCACACTCATACATAGTAATTGGGAATACAAGAGTCTGGATGATCTTGGTCATGGTCTCCAGTGACACATCTTTGCTAATTCCTTCATTGCTGCCCTCAGTCCCCTTCTGATTTCTTGGCTGCAATCTTAATTTGCTACACCCACACTACCCAAAGGTCTCTGGCTGCAATCTTAATTTGCCAGTACAAGTTGCTACTTATATGAATATCTTTAAAGACTTTTGTATAGCTGCAACTCCATCAGTTTCCCAAGAAAGCCTTTGTCAAAGTCTTTCTTGAAGCCAGTGAAGGAAGTATGCATATCTGCGTTCATGGCATAGCATTTCCCTCCACGTATATGTATGCAGACTTTGAAGCCAGTGAAGGAAGTATGCATATCTGTGTTCATGGCATAGCATTTCTGTGATTAGGTTCATTATTTGACGTGTCCAACCCCTGTTTTGGCGTGGAAAGAAGAGGCGGAGGCTGCTCATTGTTCTTAACATAACTGGATTTATTCCTGAACAAACTGAATTCAGCAGGCTCAGACGGGTCTATTAAACTCAACTCGGGTATCAAACGATAACTCCTGACTTTAACCACAGGTGTCTCGATGCCGCTCCTCACAGAGAGGCTGGACCAAACCGCTCCTTGTCAGTCATGGGCCTCAGGGAGGTGCTCCTCACCACACACATGGTCCCACAGCAAGGATGTCGCGCCCAGTCCCCCTCCCTCTGTGGCTGAAGTAAAGAGGGACTGGGACGGATCACCCTCCTCCCCCCACGCTGGTTCCGCGGATACACTACTACCGTCCATTCTATAGGTTCAAGTTCTTCTCCATGCGCGTGAATGTCTTTGGGATCAGGTAGTAGTCCTCATCCAACCTGGAGGTTGGGAAACTCTTTAAGGAGTGTAGCAAATCCTTCTTGCCCCGCACTCCATTCCGTCTGTACTCCACAATCCCTTTTCTCAGGAGTCACGCCCGTTAATAGATTGAAACTTCGCACACCTTCAGGTTCTTTTATATCCCCTTCCCACACAATCAAATCCGACTCCTCTCTCTCTCTCTCTCTCTCTCTCTCGTCACCCAGACACACCTCCATGGACACTCTCTCCTCTACTTCCTCGGGTTCTATTTCTACTAAAATACCCTCTACATATCCTTTTCCTTCCTCTGTACTCTGTTCCCTGGAGGACAGCACACTGTCTCTCTCTCCTTCACAATTTCCCTCCACGCATATGTATGCAGACTAGTGCTTCTCTGGTCCCAAGTCTTCCTTGACTCCAAATTCTGTGTCTCCTGCTCCTTGAATCTATTTTCTCCTGTGTTCATATGGAAAGCTTGGGTAAATATGATGTCTTTTTTTTCTGTTGCCTATTACAAGACTGTCCAGTATCACTCTTTCTGTGTATGATTGCAACAATATGCTTGACCCAAGGTCACATGCCCCTGAACCCCTTGCAGACCACTGTGAACTGATCTTTTTTTTCCATGGCTCTCTTGCACAAGGAAACTAGACTGACAAATGACTCTTCATGATATAAAAAGTCACCTTTGACATAAGAGGGTTCCCCCCCCCCACTAAGCTCTATGTATCTCTGCTCCTGCGGGCTCCTGTATTTTATCTAACAAAACAACCCACAATCATCTGCTTGTATACTCCAAGCTGTGCAATGCTTCTTGCTCTGTAGCTTTATTTCCTTTAGCCTTGTGTTTTAATTGGGAGGCGTTTACCTCCCAGCCCCAATTCCTTAGTCTTCAGCAGATGACATATGTGTGGCTCAAGAGCCCAGCACAGGCACATTCAGCTCTGAGAGGGTTCAAAATGCGAGAGCACTTCCACTTCAGAGGGTTCAAATGCCAAGAGCACTTCCACTTCCAACATTTCCATGCATTATTTTTATGGGATGTAGCTGACTAACCATGTTAGTTTGCTGCAAAAAAAACAGCTAAGGGCCCATTTATATTGAGGGTTTGTTCAACTTTTCTTGCACTCTTGGTACTTGTTCGCCATGTCCACATGACACAAGGCTGGAACTAGAGTCAACTGAGGCAAAGGTGGGAGAGAGGGGAGGGGAAATATTTGCTTTCCAGGGAGAGGGGGTTACACCACTCCAGGTTCTCCTGGTTCGGCTTCACTCTGGTGAACAATCTGATTGTGTGGACCCCAGTACTAGGTTGATGGGTGCTGATCCATGCACTTAGGGATGTGCTTCATTTTGATGAAGTTTTATTGTGGTCATGCTTTCTGCTGATCAGTATCGACTCTATATGCCTCAGTGCCACTCTGCTTCAATAATATCCCAGATGCTGAGGTAACACCAGAAGGTGCAGAAGGCCAGGCCTCAAAGGTTCTGTGGGATGGGGATCCAGACCTAGCTCCCACCCATGTTGGTGCTCCTTCTTCTGCTAATCTCCCCTGTATCTGCTGACCACAATAGTTTTCCAATCAATGTGACCTCAGTACAATGCAGCTTGCATGCACAGCCACTTGAGCAGCAACATGTATGCCATGTAAGCGGCACAGGGGCTGCAGAAAGAAAAAGCTGAGAGTTGGCCCAACGTGGCAGCAGCAGGGATGGAGGGAGGCAGGCAGGCAGGCAGGATATCCAAGGCCTGTATGGCTCTATGACACAACTCATCTGCTGGCCCAGGGCTCTTCAGAACTCCACTGGCCTCTACATTTCACTTAGTCTAGAAATAATGTGCATGGTTAAAAAAAATTGTATTTCTTTCATTTTGGGTTGTTTTAGTGAATGTCCCTTTTGTTTTTGTTTTGTTTTTCTATACCACTCTTTTTGTTTTATATGAAACGGTTTCCCAATTGGGCTTTCTGGCACTCCAAAAGCCCCAAAGAACCCTTAAAAACTGTTTTTAAAAAACAGAGGCAAGGCAACAGAGAATTAATCTATTCCAAAAGCCAACAACAGTAAACAAGAAAGAAAAATTATCATCAGAACAAAAAGAGAGAAATTCACCAACCTGTGTCCAACCAACTATCTGCATAGTCCAATCGCAAACTGGCATCTTCCCACAAAAGCACTTAATCAGGTGCACACAATAATGAAACAAATGTAATTAAACTTGAATGAAGAGACCATTTCTAAATTATCTTCACACATCTCTTCAAAGTAGCATGGTTTCCTTGCGGAATCAGGTATCCTACAATTTCTGCTGCATTAAATGAGAAAACTAACATTTTCTCCTTGAAGCTAGATGCCATCAGATGGAGGGTTTTTATTTATTTTTAAATCTTTTAGACTCAGAAAAAAATGTGTGCATTTTACAAGCATGTTTTGCACAATTTTGTAAAAGGTGCAATATGGGGAAAAGCTGTAACTGTCAAATGGACAACCAGATGATTGTTTGTATTTTTTTGCCCATTTGGGCTTCCTTTGTACAGTATATGATCTTCAATGGAAAAATACACTAGTTTGTGCTGAAATAAGAGTTCTATGCAAAATGGTATTTTGTGCAAATTGCAAAAAAATCACAATACACAAAAAAGGCATTTGGGAAAGGGAAAACATGCTTGTTCACTAAGGGACAAAACACTAGTTTTAAGATTTTAAGATGAGTGGAAATATTTATATTCTCCTCCTCCTAATATATTCCTTATCCAAGCAACCAGTGAACCATATCCTGTGAACAAGCAGAACTCTCAGTAGAAGTCCTGTAATGAATGGGAGCAACCCAAAAGACCAATGAATGACAGTTTATTAAGGGAAAGAGATCTTGAGACTCAAAGACATCCAAGCTTTGTGCTAGAGTTGACATACAGGGAGGCACTAGAACATGCCCCCTCACGTATAGCTTAGAGACCAGATGCTCTCTCTTCTCTTTGCAGGGATGCTAAGAAACCTGACAGCAGTCTATGTAGAAACCTGTTATTAACTCCATGAAGACAACTGTTGGGAGTATGAATGGCACAGTGAAATTTCAACAGGACTCAGTGAACATCTTATCAAATACAGTACAGTATACGGGTGTCTGGAGGTATAAACTTCCTACACATTTACACTGGTTTTGCAAAGTCATTCCTACTATCTGTTCTAAGATTTTGGATGAAAGCTTTGCCAACTACCCAGAGTAACCTTTGAAGCTAGGTGGGTGGTATAGAAACAAACAAACAAGCAAGCAAACAAGCAAAGTCTAAAATCAGCATTACAATATATGTTTATAGGATATATAGGATCTGATTTTTCATGGTTCTCCATTACTCTTTTGCAAGCTTCCTAAATGCCATCTCCATTCAACAATATTTCAATTGTTTCGCAGGGGCTTTTGATTTCAATACCTCTTCTTTCCAAGACCTTCAACTAAAACATAATTCAAATGATATCAATTACTTAAAGCCACTGAACTTCTTTCTAATCTCTTGCAAAATGTTAAGAGTACATCTTGAATATGTTATTGCCATGGCATGGTAAGGATGAAGACACCATCACAACAGAATGCATGTTCCTGAATGCTTCCCACAAGAGGGCTGTGTCATAAATGAAACCATGCATATTTACATTATTCCAGGCAATGAAAGTGGATTAGCACCCACTTCCAATCTAGAATGTTGATCTAGCCGTACTTCTTTACTAGTTCTTCTCCCAGCCTCAACAATGGTGTTTGCTGTTGATTTTCTAACAAGCACCTGCCAATGGGCAATGGCTGATCAGGCTGGTGACAGACTTCCTGTTAACAACGCCACAACTTCTTGCAGTGAGATTTATGCAAACTGGGCTTGCTCTTCTGATGTCACACTGGGCTGCAACAGCTCAAGGGCTATCTCTGTTCTACAGATATTTGGCAAAATCAGGAACTGTAGATACTTCTGAGGAAAGAAATCAACTTTAGAACCCTTGAGGGAAAGTATGAAAACTAATTAGGACTGTTTTTGGCCTGAGGTTAATCTCTGCAAAGGAATTTTGACAATTTCTGCTTGAATTTATTTTATTTTATTTTTCTTTTCTTTTTAAAATGTATTTTCAAAGAGCTGGATAATCAAATTTAGAAAATTAGTTCACCAAGTGCCTGAATGTTGCAAGCTTGCAAAATGGAAGGATTTCCCCTCATTTCCCCTGTAAGTATATGGAATTATTTCCAGATTTGTATCTGTGGCTTGACCATCAAAATGCTAAACAAAATATGAAACCCTGAAGAATGTTATATGTCTGATATTCATAATATTTTGTGTATCAAACGAGCGAGTGGCCTTTCTTAGCGAATGGGAAATTAGCATTTCCTCTCATTTATCTCTACTTCCACTCACTGATAAGACAGCATGTTATTTTATGAATATAATAAGCGTGTAGACCTTTCTTTTAAAATGGTTTTGTGGTTGAAAGGGCTGGTTTTCTGAAAGTCTGAGATTATACTGTAACCTACAGGAAAACATAATTATTCATAATAGAAAGTATTATGCGAAGTGGGGCAGAAACCCAAATTAGATGGCCAAAAGCATAAAGTTGTGTTCTGTGTATTCTGAGACTCTTCTTTTATTTTAGGGACTGCATTTTGATTTCAGGGTCAGTTCAATTGCACATTCTGGTGCCATTCTTCCTTTTTTTAAAAAAAATCTGTTTTCTTTTGAACACAAGGAAATTCATCCAGTTTTCTCATCTCCCCTGTCTCAATGAAAATAAACAAAAGAGATGAGATTTCTATGTCCACATTGGTCAGATGGAGTGTCAAGGGTGAAATCCTGATGCCTCCCCCCCCCCATATACAAATATAAATTTACTTAATGATGCTCCTTTGTTCAATGTACTGCAGTCTATTAGTCTGGTGGAGCTTGAGAACTGGTTACAGTATCTACAGTATTTGGAAAGTAGCCTGGCATAACTGCTATTGAAATTAAATTGGTGGAAGGCGTAAAACTCATTATAGGATTTGATGTTGACCCAAAGCTTAAACAAGATCATCCTTTTCAGTGCAGTTTGAATTCCTTCCTTGTAAATATATTAAATATTACATTTGTAAACAGATACATATTTATTTCAAATGCCTTTTGGTAAACCTTAGATTGTACCTTATGTATACAAGTGCCTAAATGTGTACAAGAAGTGGGTGGGTGGGTGGAGGCTAATGAATGTAAATTTTTTAATGGTCTGATATACAGCTGTGGAGTTGGGTAGAGCCAGTCCTGCAGAAGATTATACACTATATTTTTATCTTGTCCTTTTGTAATATTTAGGATCCTAAATTATTTAGAAAGTAGCTAAAATATTTAGAAAGCGACTTTTAAAAAGGTCTGTATGAACTATCTTCTATTATCTGGGGCTGTTGTCCTAAATGCCATCATCTGGAAACAAGCTCCATTGAACTAGGTAATACTTGCTTCTTAGTAAACATTTAGATCTGTACTTAAAAAAAAATTCACCTCACAGATGTTGCCTTTCATGATCTATATAACTTCAATATTTTCTAGGGTAGGAATATTTAACAGATGTTAAAAAACAAGATATTGTAAACATTCAAAGTACTTAATGTTGCCAGAATACTTGCCTTGTTTACTTGTTTTCTCTCTGCCTGAAATCCTGTTGCCTAGTGTATTAAATTGCACTAGAGTAGGTTCACTGAATCTATGAAGATTTAATGGATCATCTTTATAAATTTCAGTAATTCAAATAAGTCTACTTTAACTGTGATTTACTTTAACAGAGCAACCTGCAGTTACAGCAGGCCCATTAGAATCAATGGAAATTACAAAGGATTTGACTAACTATATTCCCATTGATTCAATGGGCCTACTCTAGTGCAAGCGATTATACTAAGCAGCTGGATTTTGGCCTTTGAGTGTTTTCACACAGAACAAATGAGGGCTGCAAGCCTACCTACAATGACTTGGGAGTAAACTCTGTTCTTCCCAGCAGAGCTTCCAAGCAACCTTAAGTAGGATCAGGCTGCGCTTAATTTCTTTTGAATGTGACTATTGCAAATATGATAGGGAAAACTAACATGGCATTAGGAAATAAAATGTACATTCAAGTGAGAGTAAATGTTTATTAATAGGCACAAATGCAGGAAACCAAATCCAAAGGTCCTTCATCTAAACAATCTTTGAAACAAACCCAGAAATACCATCTACCTTGTTTTCCCGAAAATAAGACCTAACCTGAAAATAAGCTCTAGTTTGATTTTTCAGGATGCTCGTAATATAAGCCCTACCCCAAAAATAAGCCCTAATTAAGTGAAACCCCACCCTCCACCATTGTGCAGCAACCAGAAGAAGATGACATGACTGTCAATCTAAATGTAGATTGTTGTACATGAAAAAAATAAAAACATCCCCTGAAAATAACCCCTAATGTGGTTTTTGGAGCAAAAATTAATATAAAACCCTGTCTTATTTTTGGGGAAACATGGTAGCAAAGATTATTCCGTAGCTTCAGTTTTATCTGTCAAAATCTGAGGTTTGCTACCAATTTAACATGTAATAATAATAATCCAACCATACTTTCAGCCCTGTATTGTAATCTTTTTAAACCAAGCTGGATTTTCTCATTTGGGGCGTTTCTACACATTTTAGCATGTGTGCAAATATTGTTAAATTCAAGCCATTCCTGTAACAACGAAAATATAGAACTTATGTGTATATTTTCTCAATTAAATGTTTTTCAATAGTGAAGAGACATTGGTGTCAATTCCAAGAATATTCCATTCATGACAATGGCAAAGTGGGTATTTCCCTGCCTTGGTTCAAGATTAAAAGAATAATATTCTGATTTTTATCTCCATCCAACTACCTGTAGCTGTCAGATCTTAGGTGTGTTCACATGAGCCTAAGATTTCAAATTCATGTGTGTTTGTGTTTCATCTAGTAAGCACCATGAAGTAATATCCTGTTTAACAACTGGCAGCACCGTTCATAGAAATTTGTGCGTATATGTGGACAGGTGGTTGCTCCATACTTTAGGAAACATACAGCTTTTCTTTTGAAATAGGACTACTTTTTCCAGTGAAGTATTATTATGGCTGCAAACTGTTTGGGCCCTGCACAGAATGTGAATTCTATTTTACTCCCTGGAATTTGCTTCTGAGTAAATAACCCTGAATTGAGAGAGATGAATAGTGGCCAAGATGGAATTTGTGTTTTGTCATGTACATTTTCTGTTTCCTGCAAACATCTTACAGTCTGTTTTTATTTTATATTACATTTGAATCATTGCTTTATGTATGTTAGAGGTCCTTTAAAAAGATGCATGTACAATTGGGAGTCACATTCTCCTTAGATGGATATATTTTAAAATCCAAGTATTTTATTGAAGGTCATTTTCACAAATTCAACACTTGGATACATGACAGCACTTTACTACTGTATTGACAGCCACTGAAACCTTTGTGATAACAAATTCATTTATAATGTCACCTTGAACACCATCTGGTTGAAAGACAAACAAATGATGCATCATAATATGGTGCAGATGGGTGGGCTACTGTGGCTTTCCAAATGTTGTTGGGTCACATCTCACATCAGCCCAGCCAGCATGGCCAGTGGTGAAGGTGGATAGGAGATGCAGTGCAACAGCATCCTTTGGGTGGCATCAATGGTACAACTCTGCCATTTGTGATTGCCTTCAAACTGGCAAGAGGTAGAGCAGCCCCACCCCCAATATCCATTCTGTTCCCACTCTGCTTCTTCAGTCCATTAGAAAAATGTCCCACTGCACTGGGAGTCATGAGGATTCCCTGTGACTCAAAAAGGTGTACAGGAGAATGACTTCTGATGGAAGCTACCTCCATTCACTTTGTATGCAGTAATAATTCAATTTGGCTGGTACAAGTACAGTTCTCCTTTTCTCCGTTTGAAAGGTTCTCCAATCCAGGACTAATGTAAAGGTACAGAACCCTAAGGAAGGAGATTGAGACCTTTGCCCCCCACCCATAGTTAGCATCTGGAAATACACAGCAGGCAGTCATTCCCCATTTGAGTAAACAGTTTGTAATTCTGCTTAAATTAATCCTTTCTAATTTTGCCTCTGTACGTACAAATCGGCAAATGCAGTTTTATGCAAATTAATGCCCTCATTTGTCCTCCTTTTTGGTGACATATAGATGGCTACCCTGTATCCAGCTGACATTGTTGTTCTAGCGTCTAACCTCTGTGACAGGACCCATAGAAAATGAAGGCTTGTCCCTCTGCCTTGGTATAGATCACCTCAGGGAAATGCAAGGACAAAGTGCTTCAGCTCTGGCTGACAGAGAACTTTGTTAAACCAGGACAGATTGTATTATTTAAGTAGCCTTCCTAAGGAAATGGATCCATGTTTTCCAAGGAAGTTCTGTGGTTTTAAAAGAAATTAACCTTCATTCTTCATTCTGTCTGCCGAGGCCTACTTGATGCCTCAGTTTTTTCTCAGGTAGGTTCTCTTAGCAGCAAAGTCGACAGGCAAGTTGACTGGCTGCAAGCAGCATTTTTGGAGGATTGGTAAATGGCAGCAAGTGGTTACTAATTCGATTATTTATTATATACTGACATCAGTTCTGTGATATTTGGCTGCCCATCAAAACCTCCGGCCTTATCTGGCCAGGACTCAAGGCCAACCCTGGCATTAGGCATCCTGAGGCAGTTGCCTTGGAAATGGAGCACAGGCAGTGCAAATTTTCTTTCTTTCTTTCTTTCTTTCTTTCTTTCTTTCTTTCTTTCTTTCTTTCTTTCGTTCGTTCGTTCGTTCTTTCGTTCTTTCGTTCTTTCGTTCTTTCGTTCTCCTTAAAAAGGGCCCCAAGTATGCAAATATTTAAAAGAGCTCTTAACAGCTTGTGTTAGTGTTAACTCTCCAGAGTGATCTATTTGTGGGAACACTTTGCTCCAAGGGATCCCTGGAACAAAGACATGATGGAAGAGGTGACTTGTAAAAACATCTGAGGCACCACACAGATTAGTTCCCTGGAAAACCTCACCATATCTTTATTCAGAAGATAGCTCAGAGCCAAGAGTTCCCACAGATAGAGAGCTGGAAGGCAGTACATGCCTGTGTTCTCCTGTCATTTCAGCCTTCTCTTCCTCCTCCTGTATATGCAGTGGTGGGGAGGAGAATGGAGGGGCCTCAGCATGCTGCCTCCCCTTCTGGTATGGCACAA